AGTAACCAGTGAAGTGCTGCATAAAATGCTGAGGTTCTGTTCCCACACTTTATTCATTGTTCCCATGCTGAGGGCCTTAGGCTGACTTTACATTCCCTATATTCTACCACATATGATGTAACCAGCTCACAGAATTGCTCTCATTCAGCAATATGGAGCTGCCAGAGATTGTTCAGTTCCAACACTGAAGTGAGACGCTTCAGTGTTGAAGTGTGAGACACTGAACAAAGCTTCCATGAGTACTTTCAGGGTTACTCCTCCTTGCATTTTCCAAATCCCCGATACTCCTGCAGCAACATGAGCTCCTGTAATAACAAGATCCACAGCCATGTTCTCTGTCATTATGAAATGACAGGGTTGTGGGCTGACATGAACTATTCTTTAAGAAAATAGGGCAGATGGCTGAATAAAAGCCTTGCAGAATGTTTTTATTCACTGCTTTAGAGGCTTCAATAAGTGTTAAATTACAAGGAATATTAAAAAACCCCAACAAACCACTTGCTGCATTGTTTACTTTGGAAGGGTGTATTTCTTTTATCCTCTATAATTCTACTGATCTGTCATAATGTCTATTACTACAGCTTTGTCTGTGGTGACTTATCACTATGTTCTTTGAATTGTCTTAGGCATATTTGGCACCACTAACATGATGTTCAAACATCAGGCGGTAGAGTTTGGTACTGGGGTCATACAAGTAACACGTGGTTTGTTCAAAATGCATGAATGTTTGTATGGTGCTTTTCTAACACAGATTCACACCCTTCAGAACAGCTGAGGTGGGTGTCTCTGTTGACACTGGCATTTATTCTAGTTTGATAGGAGATCTTAGAGATGTCACTGGAGCTGCTGAGATGTTGCCTCTATTTTACACAGTATCCTGACCAGTCACACTGAGATTTGAATTTACTGATATAGAGTGCAGTGGAATCAATACATTATAATTTCACATTTCTGCATCTACTGTGAGATGGAAAGCTTTCAAACAACAGTAGCCCTCCATCTGGATGAGAGTACATGCAGTAGGTTAAAATCTAGAACTAACCATACTACATTACAGTGGCTGTATTCATCTGTCATTCTGCTTAAGCAGTGACTCTTTAGGTCTTGATTACCCTTGCTTTGGGCAATCCCTTCTCTTTTAAATAATATGATGAAGGCAGATCCAGTGAGGCTTACACAATGAGACCTTTAAGGTGCTGCTCAATCCTATCTGGTCTTGCTGAGAGAAAGATTGGTCTCTTCTACCCTAGGATTCACGATCACAAACACAGCTGTTATTATGCTTACAAACAGTATCCTATGATGCAAATACTTAATAACAATATCAATGCAAGAGACTGGTGTTGCTCTTTCTGCTGCTGCTTGATTTACTATTAAGAGAAATGTTTGTTCCTTCCAGGGAATATAAACATTTCAATTGGGAGGTTCACTGCAGTCATTCTGGACAAATGTTGTATTGCTTCTCAACACACTCTTGATTAATTTTAACAGAAAAAGCAAAAAGAAATTAAAATTTTAGCTGGATTTCACTTAAATTGATAATACTTAATATCCATGTGGGTAGGTTGGGTCATGTCCCTCAGCAGAATCTTTGTGGATGAACCCTGTGACAGTTCTTCAGGCTAGATTTGTAACTAATAATGATGGAAACAGGGTAAAACCCCTCAGGTTGGTCACCTAGTTTAGTCAAAGCCAAGAGCAGTTGTGTGCCTCTCTGAAGCCACTGACTAAAACCTCTAAATGCCTCTTAAATGTGTGTTACACATTGTGAATACTTCTGATGCTCTGTTGTAGCTGGATAAATAATTTTAATGGGTGAACAGGCCAGACTGACCTTTGCCACAAGTTGGGATGAAGAGTCCTAGCTTGTTTTAGCCTCTTCTTTGGGTTTGGAACTAGGGTTGTAAAATCTTCAACTGCTTCACATCAAACCCCTCCTTCTGTGAAGTGTCTGCCTGGCCAGCAGGGACTCCTCACTAGCTGGGCCTCCTTTGCAGGAGGACTGTGAGTGTTGCCTGGTAGTGCAAAGACACCAAGTTCTTTCCAGAGGTGTTTGCTTCCTTCCTTTGTCTCTTTGTGCAGCTATAAAATCCCACTCAGAGTCTAGCTCTTGTGTAATCAGTTTCTGAACATAAAATGCTCATAATGCCTTAATATGTTTTTTGCACTTCTAAACCTTGACATGAAAAAAATAAACCTGCTGTTCAGAAGTGTATCTAAGTCTGTTTAAGCTTGTAGTTAAGATCTATTTATTGGCATGGTCTCTGGAAGATGGAGGGGTGGCTGAAATTAACATCTTCTTGTAAGTGATCAGTCAATGCTTTTATACCTGGGTTTATGAAGTTAAGCCAAAGGTTGGTGGGTTTTTTTGTTTTTGTTTTTGTTTTTGTTTTTTTTTAAATTGTTTTGTTTAAGGAAAGTTTCACTAACTGCATAATCACTGAGGAGTTCTAAGTTTTTCCATGGGGTTATGGACAGCAGAAAAAGATGACAAAAATAAATTTGATGCCAGAAAAAAGAATGAGATTCGTACAAGTAAGAAGAAAAAAATATTTTTTAAAAGGAATACTGAATAAAGTGAATTCCTAAAATGAAAGAAACTGTATTGATTTCCTCTGGTACTTTCTGGAAAATCCTTCAAAATTATAAAAAAGCAGAAACAATAAGTTGCACAAAGGTTTTTGTGGGAAATTATGAGATTTTCTGATAGGGAAGTTCCACATAAGAAATGCAAAGCTAGGCTAGATAGAAATACCAGGGCTTTTTCTTAGCTGGGGTTTACAAACCTGCACAGCTTTTTATTTCTGCTTTGACATATGTGGGCAATATACATAAAAATAAGAATAAGAAAACTTGAATCACAACAGCATAAAAGTCCACTGATAGCACCTGCCATCCGTTCCTTACCTGTGTTATCTCTACAGTGGCCTTAGCTTTTAAATAGTTCTTTCATTGGAGAGGAAGGAAAGGTCAGCGATCTCTTATTGTTCAACACCACCGAGGGGTTTCCGGAGATTGGCAGCCAGCAGAACCTTGCAGGGAAAGTGCTGGATAGTGCTGCCAGCACAGGCTTGCATAGATCAGCATTTCATTACAGAAATAGCAAATGACTGATGTATTTTCTAGGTCAAGGTGGAAAAAGTTAAATAAGGATACTGACAACTTGAGGAGGGGAAGGCGGCTATTGTGTGCAGTATTCCACCAGCTGTGGATGGACAGTGTAGTCCTCTTTTCTTTCATTTTATCTTTCATTATATAACAGTATTTCTTCCCTGAAATCTATTGTGTGTTTGTATATACCAGAGGAGCTACAAGTACTTCTCTTAAAGAATTTTAGACTCTTTATGTAGTTGGGATTTAGATTTAGTCATGATTTAGAGAGGAAAAAATAAGTAGTTTAGTAAAAACTTTCAAGCATTTGCTTTTTTTTCCAAAATGTTCTTCATTATCACAGCATCTCATCTGAGCTGGTGGAACTGAGAGTTTCAGGGATGCAACTTAGGAAACTGAATGTATCAAGGGGAAGAATGGCTTCTAAGGCAACAGGATGGTGTCTCTAGATCTTTCAGTTTAGAAGGCTCAACAATATAGAAAGCATTGAAATACTGTTGAAAGACTTCTTTAAGACAGCTAATTAATTCCTGCTCTCTAATTGTTCAGTTTTAACTAGGTCTAAGTTGTTTTACTTTCCTGAAAGTAAGAAAAATGAAGAGGTTCTGCCATTTAAAAAATCATAAGCGTAATCTTTGCTGGTAATTTATCAGTTCAGTGCAATGCCAAGCAACTTTTAAAGTGGATTTTGGTAAAATCTCATGAAAATTATTCACTTTTCAAAAGTATTACAAATCCCCTTTCTTCTATATCCTTTTTTTCCTCTTCTGTAGAAAGAAGAAGATGAGGTTAAAATAGCAGTTTTTTGTTTAGGGTAGCTGTTTGGAGATTTACACTTAGAATTTGCACAATTCAGAGAGAAGTCTGTGTAAATGTGACATGGACACAAGTGACAGGAGCTGATCCTTCGCATTCAGAATTCTCCTCTCAAGGCAGTTTTGATGCAGAGCAGGTGGCTTGGCAGAAAGAGCTCCACCTGGATAAACCATGGGACATCAAAATACCCTGTTACCTACTGACATGCAGGAACCACAACAGGAAATTGAGATGAAGTATTAAAAGCTTTTTGCAACAAATTCAGACATCTCTTCTGCTAAGGTGGACCAAGGAAAATATTACAAATTTCTTATTTGGGTTAATACTGAATGGTTTTTAATTTGCTTTATTTTTACCCTAGTTATTTTAATATTTAATTTCTTACATTGTTAATCAGTTTTGGATTATCACAAAAGTAAATTATGGGCATAAAATTTAGAATATATTTGTGTATTTGTGATTGCAGAGAAAGGAGAGCTGCAGGTTTTAATTCTGAGGTCAGTTCACAGTCCTCATCAGGTAAAATCTGGTGAGGTTATATTACACATACTTGGGTCCTCTTGAATAAATGAAAATAAAACTTCTCTTTTTAAGTTGAATGTATTTCAAGTTTTAGAGAATCCTATTTTATACTTAGCCTTTACAAAAAATCAGTTTCATCCACAAGACAACTTAGAGTTGTCACCAAGCTGCCAGCTAACAAGCTTATATTGTTCAAGAAAATATATTACAATTGTATCTACTTGTACTGTTCAATAAAACATTAGTATCTCAGCATTTTTATTTAACAATAGGCAACCTTAGGCCAGTAATTATGCAACAATTATGATAATAAAAACTGTCCCCTGCTGCTCACCTAGAAACAAGAATATATTAAACCAGTGCTAACCATCTAAAAGGAAAGCAACAAACTACACTCATTTTTAATGCCCCTGCAGTGCACCATGGGAAGCTAATAATTCACCCTCTAATTAGTATCCCTTCTGCTGCTGTTGGCGCAAGGACAGACAAAGAGGCATCCGCTTCATTACAAACTTGCCTTGGTAATCTTTAAATGTCTTTCTTCTCTGCAGGTTGAACGCATGGAACAGGGGCAAATAGAATGTGCAATTAAAAAAGGTTCGCTGGTATCGCTCGTCTGACCATGCATCCTAAGTCTAATGAGCGCACTAAAGAGTGAAAAAAAAGTGCCATTTGAATGGACTCATTCTTGTTTTTATGCTATATTATATTTCTTCCTTCTTTTCCTTCATTAGTGTCTACATTAGCAGAAAAAAGAGAATACACCAATGGGGTAAAGAATTGATAACTTCACAACATACCTGCAATGACAGTATTGTTTAGACTTTGAGCACTTGGTAAATGTTATAAATTGAGTTTAAGAAAAAGTGAATGACAGTAGGCCTTAATTAATGCTTGAGAAGATTAATTGTTTCAAGGGGAGTGTATCAATTTTAATACATTTAACTTTTAAAAATCAGACTGATTTTGCCACAGGGCACTACAGGTTTGAAATATGCAAAGCATTTCTACATAATTTTTAGCACTGTGGCGATTATAGTCATCATACTGTTACAGTGATGCTTTCTTTTAACTGTCTTGTTTACACATGCACAGTGTATTGTTGATTAATTTAAGCTTATAGAAAATGTTGCATGCCTGAGGATATTTTCAATTTGCCAATACACTGCTGATTCTAATTATTTAGAGAAATTTTAGTTTTCACAATGGCCTGCTGGTGCTGTGAGAAGCAAGGCCATCAGTGTACCAGACAGCACTAGGACCTTGTGCTGTGGCTCAAATACAGCTAAAATAAGTTGTGTTATTTCCATTTCATTGCTGTGTAGTGATCTCTGTGAAGCCCATTGGTAGGCTCATAACAAAACCAATTGTGATGCTACCTCTTCTGTTAATTTTGAGGATTACTTACTGAGTAATCAGAGGACATGCCCCTTCATCCTTGTTTAAATCCAGTCCCGCTCTCTGTTATCACTAACAGATTGTGTAATCACTAGGACTGTGTAATTATGTGATTGTGTTATCACTTACAGATTGTGTAATCTCTAGGAGAGCTGGGTGTGCTCAGGAGAGTTGAATATCATGTCACATTCTTATGTACAGTCAATAGAAAATTCAAAGTAAATAACCACAGCAACCAGCTTAAAATTTTACCTTCTATTTTGAAATATATCTGTAATGCTGTCTGCTGAATAGGTAATTAACCCTTTTTTTTTTAAAAAAAAAAAAAAAAGTATTTTTAAGAAAGTTAGTGGAGCCTCATAATCCTTCCACTTGGCTATTGCAACCTAAGAGCAGGTGAGTACTGGATTCTCAGTATGTAAATTATAAAAAAGTTCCTTTGTTAGCTTTTAGTTTTAATATTAATTAAAGGGCCACAAGGGAAGTGAAGGAGTGTTGTCTGTAAAATGAAATAGGATCTTAATTTGTTGTTCCCTCCATCTAAAATAAAGATATTCCAGAGGTTCTTATAGGAGAGTAAAAGGACATATAGTACATGTGACAGAAAAAAAAATTGTTTACTTCCATTCAAATAATTCACTCTTGATCCCAGTTTGTTCTTATTCAAATGTGCACAAATTAAGAAATGAGAAAAGTTGCTATCATAGGCCATGTGTATACTTGAAAAGGAAGTCAATGCCATTTTAGATTATGTTAGGATTCATGTTGGGAAATAAAAGATCTGGAGGTTGTCCTGATGTAAAATCAAAGAAGAAAAATTTATGGAGAGCTTACAAGTTTTTATAGTACTGTATCTGTCTGGAGAACAAATGGAGGACTTAATCAAATAGTTCCATAAATTTTGGCTTGGCACTGAATTCACTTAAAAATGTCAAACTTGGATTTGGTTGGTGTTCAATTGTACAAAATTACTTTTTAAAGAGTTATTCTCCATTTCTATTATTGGAGTGCCTTGATAAGAAAATAATTGGATATAAATTAGAACATGTTGGTTTAGTGCTGCATGAAGGCACACTTTGCACGAATAAGAATGGGAGCAAAACTAAACTCCTAATGATAGTCTCTTCTAAAAAAACCATGTATTTGTAATAATGACTATACCACAGATCACTTGGTTAATTGTTAATGACATGGTGGAATTAATGGATCTGGATGTAGCTCTAGGACACTTCTATAACTGGCCATTAATCTCCACAAATCCTTTCTGCCTCAGCCATTATTGCTTCTTCTCATCAAGTTATGTGGTATGCTGCATCAGGGTACATTGCTTTCCATAAAATAATGTCTCTATTTTTTATGATTGACTAGAAACAGCAGTGTCTGGATTAGCAAAACTCTGGGGTGGACAGACTCACAAATGTGTCCTTGGCCAGGTCCCAGCTCCCACAAGAAAGAAACCTTTATGGGCCAAAAGATTAAGGAATCCATATGCAACAGTTATTTTTATTGCCATTCCTTTCAACAGAATCATGCCTGGCTTGCTCACCATGATGTATTCCCTGTGGAGTCTGTTCCTTGATTTCACTTGATTTGTCCCAGAAAGATTTATACTCTGGAAGAGAAAAAAGAAATCTAGACACAACTTCATAGTTTTGTATTTTGTAACTCCATAGAGTTATTTTGTAAGTCCATGCGTCCTGAGTCTCAAATGGGACCCTCTCTGGCCAGAGGGGAAGTTGTGCTCCCTTTGTGTTCTGCCTCTTGAGTCACCTTCAAAGTTTAATGCAGGGAAATTCTGCATGGTTTTGTAATGACTGGTGGCAACTAGGGGAATTATTATGATAGTAAATATATTAAAGTTATAAGTATTGATAAATACATTTGTATAGATTCCAGATTCAGAACAGTGATATTTTAATTATATTACTTTATTTATTTTTTGGCCGTAATTCTCAGAAATACTAGTATTCTGCAGAAATTAATAATGTAAATCAAATTAACATTGATAATTTTTAATCCAGGGAATGTGTACTTCTAAGCATTGATCTAGATAAACAGCTTACAGAAGGTTTTAGCTCAAGACTGGGGTTAAATTTTTAAAATTATTATTGGCTGCTTTCAATTTCTGCTATAAATACAATATTTTTCTTAAGCACACCACATGTTCCTGTTTGGTGAAAAGTGAGGAAAAGAAGTAGTCTAGAATTACTTCATGTCTAAATTGATCACTACCAGGAAATTAATTTTGTTTTGCCTTGGCATGGCAAAAAGTGTAGCTAAGAAACCCTGAATAATCATTAGACAATTTTCTTGTGTGCTGCACCATATTTGAAAGGTCATACACCATTATAAAAGGTGTAAAATTATTGGGAAAGACAGAAGGCAGAAATGGACTCCATGTCATCAGTGTTCTAGATTAAGTTTTTAGTACATCTGAATTCTGCCAGATTGCCTGCAGCTGCCTCCGCCTCCACAGGCTTTAGAATATAGTCTTGTGCCCACTAAATCACTGACAGCTTTCTCTGGTGGTTTCAATGCAACTGGCTTCAATTTCTAGTTTCCACAGTGAGAGTAAGTGAACAAACAAAAAAGAAAATGGAATAGTAATTAAGAAAGTAGATAAAACATAGAATTGTGACATCACTCTTAAGTAGTTTTTTAAAAAGATCTATACTTTTTATGCTGATCCATTGTTATTCCATCTCACAGGTCTCAAAAACAATTTACTTTGTGGTATGTAATATATAGTATACACATGAGAGAATGATAAATAAAAGTATAATTACTGTTCAGAAGTTAACTTTCAGAAGCAGACCTGCAGCGGCAAGGTAACACAACATTATGCTAGTCTTTTATACACTATAGCTCCTACATTCCTTATATGTTTTCAAAAATTCTCTAGAATAAAGCATATATTGGCCTAGTACAAAAAATTAAAAAGCTGAAACCACTACATTCCACACTGATATTTATATTTCTCAAACTTAAAGAATATAAGGTTACAGAATATTTAGAACACCTTAGACTTAGAGTTCTGAAAAAAGAGGAAATATATCCTTAAAATTGTATGATGTAAAAGTATTTGCTTAATAGCGTATAATTGAATAGTAACTTTACCATCACTTTAACATATATTATCAAATATATTATTGAATTTAAAGGGGCGGTAAAGGGTGGTAAAGTCCAAATGTGAGTGATCACCATGAAGTTCTGAAGGGCTCTTATTGAAAGTGACAATTTTGACATGTGAGAAGGTATGGCTTTGTTAAAATTTATTTGTACCTATTTTTAAGCAGTTCTTGTTTGCAACTCTTATTAATAACAAATCATTTAGCACACCATGGCCCTTTAGAGGACTACATCGCAAATTACATTTCTTTTCTGAGTTGGGCTGCTGTTACTGGGCTGAATATGCTGTGCATGCACAGGATCGAATGATTATTAATCGTTCTAGTCTTTCCTGGGTTGCTAGCTGCACAATAATGAAAAAAAAGCATCATGGCCAAGGTACAAATCAGATGGAAATATCACCTGTGAACTTCTCATTCTAAATTTGTACAAAGCAATTAAAAGCCCCTGTACTTACATATTTCTTTTAGACTGCTCTAATTGTTTTGAAGTAACAAGGTAAGATAGACGTTCTGATTAGAAGAGACCAGCACTTCCCAGATCAATAAGAACAGAACGTCCTAACACCTTCTGTACCTCTGGATGAGGGATTTTCTTCCACTGACTTTCAGTTTAGAGATACTCACAGAAAATTACAACTGTAAAATAAGAGGTGTTTTTACCCCAAATTCTGAAATAATATAAATTTGTCTACACATATAGTTGTCCTGCTATATGTATTGCAGTAAAATTCATGTTTCATGTCACATAAGCTGTATGAACTTTTGGGCACAGGTATATCTATGTCATCCATGTGATAAACAGGTGAAGGTTCTCTGATGTGCAATGGAACAAGGGACGTTTTTCATTACTTCAGATACAATTGGTGAATGAACAAGGGTTGGGAACCCACAGGTTTTGGATATTGAAACATTGAAAAAACTTTCCATTTAGGGGAAATTAAAATGTTATGATAATCATATAATGCACAAATCACAGTTTGGAATAAAAAGGAGTAAACTTCAATCTGCTTCCCACTTTCCTCTTTTATTATAGATTATGTTTTCAAGCATCATTCAATTTTGTCAAATGTTTGCTTGTGAATTTTTTTCATTGAATTATTGCATTTTCCTCTCTTTTTTTCTAGTAAATTTCTGCTTTTTTCTAATGATTTTTTTTCTTTTAATCTTCAAAATCATTGATGCAGCATCTTTTTTTCAGCTGAAAGAAACAGTTTAAGGAGTTGGATTGCTGTGACAGAATTACAACAGTATGTTAGCTCTGTCTGTCTGTCTTGCTCCTTTAGGAGTACTGCTGGCTGCTTCTTCTGTGTAAGGTAGTTATTATTCACTGATTTACTTCATGCTGTCTGCCTCCAGCCTTTCCAATCCCTATTACACAGGATGAAAAGAGAGACTTTAAAGTAGTGGCTGCCTAAGGAGAAGGAAGGGTCTTGATGCTATTCCTAAAACAAGTTATGAAGAACTTGCACTATCTCAGGGCCAGTATCTCAGTATTAATTATTTGAGCACCTGTAAAATAAATTGAGAAGCTGATTTCCTCTATGGAGCCTAATAGGAAGGTAAGGAATTCTTATCCCTGTACATTTGAGCTTTTTCCATAAAGAATCTGCGGTGCTATTTCTGTAGCATTAGAGCCATGCAGACCACCACAGAGACATGCCTTTAATGCCAAGTCATTTTGGCCTGCTATGCCTCACATTCTTTCAAATGTGCTGCTCTTCAAACCAGTCTCTGCTTCCACAGTCCCCATGTCTTTCCTGCTGTTGGAGAATGTCTGTCAGCCTCTTTAGAGTATTTCTATGATTTTTTAGGAACCTGACATGCTCTTTGACCCAGCTTCCTCAACATGCTGCTGCTACTCTCTTGCCTCTCTTTTCTCTAGTCTTGTATTACAGAATTTGTAGTAATTGTATAGCCTGTGCCTTGTGTTATAATGTAAAACTCTGATGTGATCTTTAATAGATCACATTTAATAGAATTACCTCAATTGCAGGAGATTAAAATCTCAATAATGTAGGATTACTGCAATATTCCCTCATGCTGCCTTGCATGTGCCATAAGGGTTGCTCTTAAAGCAGGCATGAAGGTGGAGCAAGCTCTGTACTGCCTCTCCCTGGGTCAGCTCTAACATTAGGGCAGGGATGAAACATTTCCAATTTCTCCTAAAGGGCTACACAGCAGGATATATTGCACCAGCAGTTTGCAGTATGTGTTGAAAGGCTGCAGCATATGCTCTCTCCTCACTGCACTCACTCACCTCCACAAATTTAACTCCAGCAACTTTAACAGACGCTGAGCCTGAGATATTGCGACAGTGTATTGATACTCAGGAGGGAATTGCACTGGAGGCTTTCTTTCCTTGTTGCCTTATTCACAAAACACTGGAAACAACATGAATCTCACTGTTCAGGGTATTGCAGTTCGTGAATGGAAAGCTATTTTCATGCCTGTAAGAAGCTATGAAAAGTATTGTTCTAAAAAACCAATCTACTGTAAAATTTAAGTAGTGCTATCTGAAACTGCTGATTTCACTATGGCCTCAAGTGGCATATTAACTTTTTAAAGACTATTCCTAATAAACAAAGATTCCTGTCTGCATTTACTTGCTTTGAATTTTATGGAAGCAGCAGTTTCTCACTACAATAAACCCAGATCAAAAAGTGTTTTCTTTTGAATTCAAATCGGCCAAATGGGCATCTCTATCTGAATTCATTCATGCAGCTGATCTCTGGTCTTCAGCATAGTTGGGAGTTTCATGTGGTAAATGGGATGTAACTATTTTACACTAAATTATATATTTGTATACAGTGTATGCGAAAGAGCCAGAGCCAGAGAAACATCCTCCAGTAAACTGTGGTTAATAAAAATTACTGTCCTTTCATGGAACTCCACTTTGACAAGGATCCTTTAAAGATTTCTAGTCCCAATGACATTACATATTTTTTTACCTAACTTATTGTACTATCAGCCAGTACTGTACTATTGTAAACATCCTTTCAGCATGTTTCTTTTACAAGAAGGACCACAAGATTATTTCAAAAGGATAATAATGATAGCAATTTTGTATAACATATGAATAACATAGGAGTTGCATGCACCATTTAAGAATACATTAATTTTTATCTATTTGTTGAAATACTGAATGAGAATTCCTATAAACATCACAATAGAAGATATTTTTTTTTGGTTGTAGTTACTATTTCCTACAAGCTCTTTTCCTCTTCATGCAACCTGAAAACAATTTCTAGAACAAAAATATTCTATGAATGTGGGTTTTTTTTCAAATTTGACTGATACTCAGTTTTCAATTTTTTTTTTCATTCATATCAGATTCTTCTGGTAACTTAGAAGCCAGGTTACTGTTATTAAACAATGCAAATCTTCATCAAGTCCTGTTGTTGAAAAAGATCATGGGCCCATTAATCCCAGCTGCTGAGTAGCCATAGTGCCAGGTGAAGTCAGTAGGAGGTAAAAGTGCTCAGCCTCTCCAGAAGCAGAGAATATTTTGCATGAAAATAGCTCTCTCATAATAAAGTGAAATGTTACAAGTACAGAAAGGATTATTCAAGATCTAATATAAAATATGAATCTATGGAGACTGTTTTCACACAACAATCTGAGTTGCAGTGTGAAAGATAATACTTTCAGTGCAAGCCATATAAGGAACAGGGCAGATTCCCATTGCTCCTATATATTTATCTTTTTAGACATTTGTCATCCTTCTACAAGCTGAAGGTGTAATTCCTGTGTTTTAGCTTTATAGGTGATACTTAAGTACATATTCTGCCTGCTCTCAGTTGCTCCCTGGTCCTGGGCCTGTTGGACCAGTGGCAGTGTGGGGCATGCATTATATCAAGCATGCACTCGCAGCTCAGCCTCGCAGCCACCCAGGCTTTGTAGCCCTGGATAGGTCTCTACACCAAAATTGTGTTAACAGGCTGGGCAGAGTTTAGGAGGCAAAGAAAGTATATGAACCTATGGGCATAATATATTTGACTTTCGATTTACTTACTATTACTTACCATCATTATGCTATTTAATACCATTTATGCTATTTAAAAGCTTTCCTGGAATCTATTATCTAATAAAACTATTTTTAATACTTTGAACAGTAAAACTAGTACATAAGTAAAACTAATACATTAATCTTTTTTAATCAAGATTAAAAAAAGTCTACCAAAACATTTTCAACCACTGATTGTGTAATTGGACAATGTGTGTTAAGCAGCTGACTTTTTCCAGCTTACACATTGTGAACATTGGCAATCTTGAAAGGTTTTCAGTCCACCTCTCTCAAAACAAGTTTTTTTGAAGAGGAAATATATTGTATACAGGGAGAAACAATCTGAACTTGCTATGAAGCTGGTGACCCAGAGAACAATTGTTTGGCTTTCACTTTGTTTGGGGGCAGTGAAATTACATTGTTCTTTATCTGAGGTCTCTCTCATACCACAGTCAGGTTCCTGGCTCATGGGCTGCCCACCACATGCACAAGGCATCCTGCTTCTTCCTCAGGACTCTTCACAGCAGCATTTCCTTAGTAATGCCTATGGACAGTTGCTTTTTTCTGTAAATTCTGTGTGCCAAAAATCAGAAACAAATCCAATTTTTTCCTCCTCTCTACCTGTGGCAAAACCCAGTTCTGTCACTTGCTCAGATTGTAAAATGCAGTTTTATGGATTTACCTGTTCATTGAAACCGCTCTGTACTCCTGTGGTGGTGCAGGGCAGACGTGTAACATCCTCTAATACCCATTCACTCAGCACATGTAAACTAATGACAGAGTTTACAGAGATGTTTTAAAACAATGTGTTTGCTTTTCAAAATGTGTTGCATTCAGCAGTTTGGCCCAACTGTTAATGATTTGGGGTTGTGGAGAATAACCAAGTAACACATGGCAAATAATTTGTTTGCTTAAACTTAAGTCTGTCTTAGACCTGCATCTTAGTGCTTTCAGGATCTCTGTAACTGAGAAGGATTTTTTGGAACTTATTTAAGTGGAGGTTTATTATATTTGTACTGTAAATGAGCTGTTCTGGAGGAAACCCTTGGAGAATCTCCACCAGAGTAGGACAAAACAAATACAGCAGCAGCTGCAGCATCAGCATGCTCCTCACACTTTCAGCTAGCAGCTCAATGAAACATTTTGGCAAGGCAGAAGACCCAGTGGGTGCCAGATTGGCACTGGTACCTATTGTGTTTCCTTTGCCTTATAGGATTTGAAAAAAAATTGTTTATCTATTTTTATGATACTGCAGCTTGAAATAAGGTGAGAAAGGGGAAAATAATTAATTCATCTTTAGGGTCTCCTGCCTGTCATGGATTTTTGTCTTTATTCTTCTACTTTCTTCATCATGTTAATTAGGAAAAGTATTCAAACACCTCATGTTGAGGACAGTTCCTGGAACATGATGATACATTTTAAGGGAGACAATTTCCTTGACATTAACACCAGTTTCTTATATATATTGGTCTCTGTTTTCAAACTTAAGTGTTTGAGGGCATGCTGATCTCATGCAGTACAGCAGAGAACAGAGCTGCCTTATTTCCAGAACCAGAAGCAAACAGCTGTGCCACTGTGGTGTAATGCTCAGGCTAAGTGGGGGACCTGCTGAGGACAGAGCCTATCAATTCAAGAAAATTGGCAACATAATTGGCAATACATTATGTTTAACATTGTGTAATTACTAGAAAGGGGATGGAATGGAATTAACTCAGTGAACACTCTGTGCAGTGTCTTGGAGCGCCTTCTAGATCTATATATATGGGTTTTCTTTGTTGACAGTTTCAGCAGGAGATGTTCCATGTTGAATGTAGTTAGCTCTTGTTTAGGAACTAAATTTGTAATTAGAATTCCTCTCAGTATCTGTCTTCAGGAGGAGGAAAATATGGCTACCTAATGCAAAGTATGACTACCTGCTTTTTATGTAGTGTCTCACACAAGTATCCTCTGTAGAGGCTCTGCAGTCACCACCAGTTCACAATTAACTTGCAGTTCAAACCTATAGGCTTTGACCTGTAAGTCCCTAGATGTCATGGGGCTAGGCCAGCTGACACAATTTATGATATTCCTGCAGGTGTCATCAACAAGTCATCATTGTGCCACTTTTATTGCACTAATGTGCCATTCTCTTCAGTTCTGATCTGCACTGAGAAACAAGATGCTGAACTCCATGTCTTGTGTGGTGCTTCTGTGGGTGTGTTAGATGCATAAAGGAATATATGAGAATGCAGATTATGCACAGTAAAAACTGATAGCACACTCAGAATCAATACAAGCCCACAATAAATGTAATTAATAAGAGCTCTGGAGAACCTCAATATAAATAATTCTGGTTTTGACTGCAAGACTGAAACATTTGCTTGTGATAAATACAAAAAGATAGAAGTTGCCTTTGCAAAAGATATGAATGTGTTTAAAGTATCTAAACAGATGATTATATTTCACGTTATGAACATCTATACTTAGAAGTATGTTTCTGGAGAAAAAGAAATGCTAGGTGCCAGCACATTCCTGCCTGGATCAGAACTCCAAAAGATTTGAGCAACAGCT